TTTTGTGCTGAGGAGTGAGCAGGGTGAGCTGCTGGCTCTGGGAACATCTCAGCTGCCGTGAGAAAAGGCTCTATGGAAAGACCCCTCCGCTCTCAGTCCCACACTCACATCTAACCTCACAGAACTACTGCAAATGACAGAAATCCGAAATTCCCTTGCTCATTCTCCGGAAAATTTAACCGAAAAGGAGCTAGCGCTGAGTCAGAGCTGAAATGCACCTGCAGCTCCCCTGTGCTCCTCCGCAGCCCCATGGCCCTGGTGGGTAATCAGGAGCTTCCCGTTACAGCAGGAGCAAAGGGCCAGGTTTCCCATCATAAATCCCTCGGCGAGCTCCCCGTCTCCACCTAGAACCGCACAATCCAGCCAGAAATCACTTGTCCCCAAAGATGTTGCAAAGATCGTGGCAGCGCTTACGCTCCACGGCGCGTCTTTTCAGTGGCTTTGATGTTTATTGCAATTCCAGCTGCGCTGGCTGCCTCCTGATTGTTATCGTGGGCTGTTTATCCAGCCAGGGCGCTGCGCCGAGGGGAGCGGGGCCGCGCTGGCAGCGGCACCGGCAGGAAACGGTCTCCAGCACCGTTTGCACGAGAGTCCTCCCCCCCCAAGGGATGTCCGCAGGGAGCTGGGGACACGTGGCCCTTCTTTGTTCCTACCCGTCCTGCTGCCCAGCCCCACGGCACGACTGGGGTCTCCTCCTGCTTTGCCTGCATCCGTCCCCCCCTCCGATGGGATGCAGCCGGGATGCTAAGCACCTCCACCAAACAAACACCTAATGCAGCAGGGCTTCTGATTATTTGGGTTGGCAGGGAAGGCATAACAAGCAGCAGCAGCCAGAAGGCAGAGCCAGACCCGCTCCGCTTTGAAATAACACCCGATTGTGTTTGGAGAAGCCATGGCCACTTATTCCTGAGCAAAGTGTGAAAAGGGGATCTCCATCCCTTTGGCCTCTTAGAATCATAGAATCATAGAATGGTCTAGGTTGGAAGAGACCCTTGGGATCATCGAGTCCAACCATCCATCCTACTCTACAAAGTCCTCCCCTACACCATGTCCCTCAGCACTGCATCTAAACGGCCCACAACTCTTTCAGTAACAAATTCCTTCCTAATGTTCAGTCTAAACCTCCCCTGTTGGAGCTTGAAGCTGTTCCCTCTCGTTCTGTCACTAATTACCTGTGAGAAGAGACCAGCACCAACCTCTCTACAGTGTCCTTTCAAGTAGTTGTAGAGAGTGATGAGGTCTCCCCTCAGCCTCCTCTTCCTCACACTAAACAGCCCCAACTCCCTCAGCCGCTCCTCATACGATTTGTTTTCCAGCCCCCTCACCAGCTTCGTTGCCCTCCTCTGCACTCGCTCCAGCACCTCCAGATCTCTCTTGGATTGAGGTGCCCAAAACTGGACACAACACTTGAGGTGTGGCCTCCCCAGTGCTGAGTACAGGGGCACAATCACCTCCCTACTTCTGCTGGTCACACTATTTTTGATACAAGCCAGAATGCCATAATGCAGCAGGGCTTCTGATTATTTGGGTTGGCAGGGAAGGCATAACAAGCAGCAGCAGCCAGAAGGCAGAGCCAGACCCGCTCCGCTTTGAAATAACACCCGGTTGTGTTTGGAGAAGCCAAGGCCATTTATTCCCGAGCAAAGTGTGAAAAGGGGATCTCCATCCCTTTGGCCTCTTCACAGCAAGACCAGTCACTTCTCCACAGCAAAGCTCAAACGCGGCCGAGCAGGGTGAGCATCTACTTGGCCAGGTGAACCCCAAGCACTGGAAAAAAACCTAGTTATTCATCTTATTTACAATAACCCCAAGGTTTAATTTTGCAAACAGAGATCTCCTCATGAGGCAGCGCTCTGGTGTGACCTTCAGCAAAGGGCTGAGCTGTGGTGGAAGGAAGCGTTGGGTGCGACCCTCCTCCTCTTGCCCTAGTGCCAGGGATGCTGGAGATAGCCCCCGGGGTGGTCCCATCAGGGATGGCACCACAGGACAATGCCACCTCCCTTGTCCCCAGCTCCCTGCCGTCCCTAGAGGCTCTGCTCAAGCTCTGATTGCTCCTCAGCAGTGCCAAAAATGCTGGAATAAACAGCCAACTTGGCACCTTTATTCCCCTTTTCCTTTGACAAATTGTAGACAATGGCCCTTTTTTCAGCGATTCTTGATGTTTTCACATGCCGTGTACACTAAAAAGCACCTGTGATATACTTTAAAAAAGATAATGTGTTACAAGCAGCTACTTCTCCCCACGGAGGAACAAGACAATGGCTCCTGTAAGGGAATTTTAGAGAAAGAGGAGCTGTTTGAGTTTGGCAGCTGCTAAGGGGATACTGGCCCCCCTGCTGAGCTCAGCACGTTCTTTTTTGTGCTGAATGTATACAGAGTACCTTAAGGCACCCGCAAAGCAAGGTCCAGAAATTGTGTTGTAAAGCTGTTTAAGGAGAGGAAGCCCAATGACAAAGAGAAAACTTGGCAAACTCTCGGGATCAATGGAAACAGCCCGAGTCACCCCACGTTGTCCATGGAGTCAGCTGGGCCCCTGGGGCAGGCAGTGCCCCACAGGGCTGCAAAGCAGGGCATCCCTCTTCCTCACGAGAAGCTTCTCCACCTCTTTAGGAAGGGTAACTGTGTGCCCAAAAGAACTTTTTTTTCCATTATATTAGTTGATTTAGTAAGCAATGTTCCATCTGTCCATAATCCTGTCTGTGTTACGAGACTCAAGCTCATCTAACCTGCTCTTCAAAACCTGCAGAGAAGGATATCCCGTAATTCCCCCGCACAGTCGCTCCCAGCACTTCACTGTCCTCCTGTTAAGGCAGTTTCCTATTGCCCGGCCTCCCTTTTCCTTGCTGCAGTTAAAAGCCCTTGTTTTCTGGTCCTGTTCCCAATGGATTTAGAAAACAAATTAGTCCCTTCCTCTCTGTGTAATTAAAGATCTGGTCATGTCTCCACTTTCATGGACTAAGCAAGACAGTTTTGCCAGCCCACTGCCCAGTAAACTAGAAAAGCATGGGAAAGATCTCAAAAGTCAGGTCTGATTTTCAAAGCCAAATCCTATCTGGAAAGAGACCGTGTTTTATTGTGTATTCACTGTGATTTACACACTGTTTTGGTTCCTGTTTGGCTGGGATCATTGTCATAAAGCCTCAGACAAAAGAACAATTACGGCTCCAACACCATTACATGAGACAAAATGAGATCAATCAGGAGCTCGCTACACCCAGATGGTCCTGAGGGGTGGGCTCTGGGCCAAGCCCCAGTAACACACACACACTGGACACTAAGGATCTCAGTCCAGATGCACACCACTGTCAGGGCATTCATCCAACCTCTATTGGACACCTACAGTGAGGGTATCTACCATGAAGTTCATCACCTACAGGGCTTCTGTGGCTCCTGGTAAGCAATGGGACGTTGCAGGCTGTGGCTCCTCCAGCCACAGCAGGAGTGAGGTAGAAATCTGAAGTCTGAAATAAGGTAGAGATCTGAAACAGGTCAGAGCAAGAGGGTTTTACAGGTTCCTGGTCTTCTTCATTGGAACAAGATGACCTTTAAGATCCCTTCCAACCCAAACCATGCTACGATTCTTTGGTAAGAGTGCCAGGAGCCGAGCTCTCTTGCAGAGAGATGTAGAGCAACGGGTGAGATGAATCTCATGTACAGGGAGGACAGATTTGGGCTGGAAAGGGGTGCACAAGCCCCACTCTGCTACATCGGGCACTGCTTGGCTGGGTGTCCCCTCCTGCCACCCCACCAGGGGCTGCACCTCATGGTTGACCACTGCTGTAATGGGGCTACAGGCAGAGCGAGGCAGAAGGATTCAGCCCTTACTGCTGTACCCTTTTTGCCCAAAAACTTTAGCTCTCCTGGGACTCTGGCAAGATGGATCACTGGTGGGATCAGGTCCAGCTGGTCTCTGTAACTGTAATATAGTTTCTTTCATGAATCTTAACCACGGGCAGCACCAGGATCACCAGCAATAACCATTTAAAAATGCAGATCAGGATGTGTCTTTCAAAAATAGCAAAGTCACCTTTTCAAAGTTAAACGAGTTGGGTTTGATCTGAGCATTTAAAGTGCACTTACATTTTCCAGCTCTTGTCCCCAAGCATGGGAACTGGACATTTCTTTTTCCCATCTTAAATAGCAGTATTTTTAGTTGACATCTCATCTAATCATAGGACTCCAGGAGCTGGGGCTCTAAAAAAACCACCAGGGATCCTGAGAATAGGCAACGTGGGGGATTGGTGCAGGGATGCTTAGTTATAAATCCACAACAAAACCCCCCAAAAACACCTTTCAGTTGAGAAACGAGGGACTATGTGCAACACTTAACAATTGTGGAAGAGCAGAGCCTTGCAGGACCTACAGGATGACCCACCACCACCAGGGAAGGCAGCTCCAAGGCAGTCCCCAGGCTGCAGCCCCCTCGCTGTGTCCCTACTTACACAGCCACAAACCCTCAGCCAGCTTCCCAGGACACAAATCCACAGGACAGAGGATCAGAGCTAGGAGAAAGGAAGGAAAACAGTCCCATTGGCTCCTGGAAGCCTTTACAAACCTCATCCACCCACTCACCGAGGGAACAAAGCGTTTAGAGACATGTTTTAACTCTTTACACAGCTCCAGAGTACAGCTCAAACAGCCTTTCTCTGCCCAGACCGAGCTGGGGGCAGACAGCTCACGGGGAGGAAATGACCCCCCTGATTTTTGTGGCCTTTCATTTTCCCTGTAACAGGAAGATGGATCCCTGAAGGCTTCAGCTCCATCTGCAGAGGAGGGCATTTATCCTGGCTCAATAAACTCCAGTACTAATTTACCCAGAACCTGACAGTTTTGCAGTGTTTGCTGCTACTTCTTTGCTAATGCTTTTGGGTAAAACACGTATTTCAAAGCCATTCTTACAGAAGGTGAGGAAAACCCAAACCAGACAACCAGCGAGAACACCAATGTGTTAGTGACAGTCACAGATTAGCACCACTAATGCTCTTATTCTTTCATTTCAGGTACTACAGTCTCCACAGACTCCACCGTCCAGGCTGTAACAGGTACCTCCTGGGTTGTGATCTGCTCTGGATGTCTGTTTGGATGTGGGTGCACGTGCCCATGTGGGGATGGAAGTGGAGAGTCCACAAACAGGAACCAGACTCAACACTCCCCTCAATTGAAGCATCTTTTCCCAGGACCCTGCGTTGTCCACCTCTGCCTGCCCCATCTATCATCTTTCACCCCCAGATCTCCAGGGGCCAGGAAGGGCACTGCACCCCAAAGGATGACCATGCCTGGCTCCCCTTTTTGCCTGGAAGAGAGCAATTCCAGGAATCCTAGCAAAAGCAGGAGGATCCTGTCTCCTCTCTGCTCCCCATGTCCCCAGCTGTTTCCTAGCAGTTCACATGGTCTCCTCCATGGATCCTCAGAGCCAAGGCCCCTTTGCCCACAGATCCAACCCCACAGCCACACCAGTCACAAATTCCCTCCTTAGCATCCCTTGCCCCCATCACCCTTTCAGCTCTTACTGGCTACAATGGTCCCTTTCCAGCCCATCCTTCAATCCTCCCTGTGGGGATCCCACCAAGGAGCACGTGAAGATGTCACCTCCATGTCTTTGCTTGTATTACAGGTCAATCCCAATCGACAACACACAGCCCTGAAGTGAAGAACCACACCTCAGGTAATGCTCATAGAGCAGAATCATGGAATCATAGTCACATCATCATTTCACATCATCAAGTCCAACCATCAACCTAACATTTGACAAAAACCATCACTGAACCATCATGTGGAGACCTAAGAGTGCAGCCCAGGGGCATCCTGGCTTGTACCTGGTCTGACCTTCAGTCCAGCTGGGCCATCCAGCAACAAATGGGGCTGTGCAGCAGTGGGTCAGATGAGAACAGTGGTGGGGAAGAAGGAAATTCTGTGGCGTACGGGCTTCTGACCCAGCCAGCTCACCCCAGAGGGACCAAGACACGGGTGAGAGCAAGAACAGGGAAAAAAAAAAATCACTAAATGGAATAGGGTAAAACCCTGGGGTGCACAAACGATGCGACTGCCCAGAGCCCAGACAAGGAGCCAGGCTGGGTGATGTCCACGTTGCCACATCCTCCTACCTGGCATCACCAGCAGCTCCCTGTGCTCAGACCACCAGGATTGCGCAGGATGTCCACGCATGGTGCCTCACACACCTTGGCTCCAGGTGTCCTGCAGAAGGAACAGCAGTGGAGTCATTGCTCTAACAGCTTCCCCGCGTTACAGTTCAATACTGCTCTCTTGACAAGCCTGACCCTCCATTTATTTATTTTTTAATTAAAAACTCCCAGTGCTTTGCACACCCTCAGCACTTCCCATACAACGTGTTCCCCATTTCTCCAGGAGGAAAAGTGGAAACAAGAAGAGGCTTGTCTTAAATCTTACAATGTGTCAGCAGAGGGACGAACACTGCCTTAGCTCCAATTCAGTTATTCATGTTGGGGATTTCATTTTCTAATTTGCCTTCATGGGAACAGCAGTCACTCATGAAGTCAGAAAAATATTTAAAAGTAGTAAGAACCTATGAGGAGTTCTCTTTTTTTTTCTGCTTCCCCCCTCTGCTGAAACCAGCTTCAGGACGTCACCAGGTGTAGGTGGTCCCAAAGCCCCAGAAGGGCTTGGGAGAAAGTTATATGTTTCAGTCTGAAAAATACAAATAAATACACAAGAAGGGATCTCTCCAACTCCAGATCCACATCTGCTGGTCCACTTGGATCTCTGGAGACAAATCTCTTCCTGCTGTGTTTGGGGAAAAAGAGATCTCTCTAAGCACAGCTACTCCTCCAAAGGGACCCCAAAAATATAAAGGAAAAAGATCTCCAAAAGATCTCAGATTCTGCTTCCATGCCTTGCAGAAAAAGAAAACTTATTCCTAAATTCAAATATTTTGGTGAAGCATTTGGATAAAAGGGGGCGGGGTGGGAACAACACCTTAAAATAATTTTCACTCTTTTCTCATTTTTATTGGAAACCCAAGAGAAGTCTAGACAAGGAACTTGCCTATAAATTCCAAACTGGTGATGCACTCTTCTTTGCAGAGAGCTTGTTGAAAGCTTTTTTCCCCACTTCTTTCTCTGGATCATGTTCTTGCTGTGCAGCTTTGAGTAGAGGGTGGAGAAAGGTGACAGAGCCTCCACACAACTGCAAGAACTGAATTATTTGTGCTAAGAGACCCTCGGTGAAATGAAACATAAAAGTTAGCGTTTCAGATAACAAGCAAACAAACACGTGGGTGCCAGGAAGCTCAGGCCAGCGACAGTGTCCAGTGATAAAAATGTCTTCATTTTCAAAGCAGGAAAAAAGTGGTGGCAAAAAGCAGACTTTCTCCATGTGCCTCCTGAGCTTTGCCATGTCAGCACCCCCATACACTAAAAAAACAAAAGCCAGTGCTGAAGCACAAGAGCCCCCTGACTCTGAGCAGGACGAAGGCGATTCCCTTGTCTACTCATGCAGATTATCCATAACTCCTTTCCCAAGGAGTGTGAGGACTCTGCAGTAGCCATGCCCCTCTCCATGCTGTTTCTGAGCAGAGTTCTTTGATGTAATGCTACCCTTCCTCTACAGAGCCTTCAGTAAAATCGATGACACCAGATGACCTGAATCTCACCTCCGTGGGTCAAACGACGACAGCCAAATCCTCTTCCCTCACTACAACACTACTGGCGTTGATCATGCAAGGTAAGTATGGAAAACCATGGAATACTCAAATTTTTGCTCAGGCAAGACCTGTTTATGCACCCCTCCTTAAGGCTGGGCTAGCCCACGCCACGCTACTTGTCTAGTAGAAGCAACTTTTGAATCTCTTTGAGGCTTTGCTAAAAGAGCAGCCCATTCCAGCTCCCCCAAGACACAGGGTTGGCTGGACACAACTATGGCCTGGTTGTGGCAGCCAGATCATGCTCCACTGAGTAATCTTTTGTGTAGGACCTACAGGCACCCAGCCCTCCCCAGCTGACATCTCCCAAGCTGACCTCTCATGGACACCATGGAAACCCAACAGCTCTCCATAACACAATCAGTAGCAGCTTCAAGTGTTAATTCTCCTTTCCTGTGTTTTTCTTTATCTAGATGAGAAGTCTAGTGACAGCAGAAGCACAGCAGCTTCACCACCTCAAGGTACTTTGTTCTTTTATAAAGTAACAAAAAGTTTAGATAATTTCATGACAATTACCTTACTTGGTTGACATGGTGCAGGTTGTCTAAGCACTAGTCTTTGTCCTGGGGTTGATCCATTAGTAACACCCAAAATCATGTCTGGTATCCTTACAAGACTAAATTAATATCCTCTTCCTGGGAGGACCTTGAATGGTTGAAAGGCTGATGGATGTATAGGAAAAGGGAGCCCTTTGAACATCCTTAAAAAAAAAATAAATCATTTTGCTTTTGACAGTTTGCTAAGCCCATAGAACCATCGAATCACAGAATGGTTTGAGTTGGAAGGGACCTTAAAGACCATCCAGTTCCACCCAGGGACACCTCCCATCAGACTGCAGGAAAAGGGAGCCCTTTGAACATCCTTAAAAAAAAAATAAATCATTTTGCTTTTGACAGTTTGCTAAGCCCATAGAACCATCGAATCACAGAATGGTTTGAGTTGGAAGGGACCTTAAAGACCATCCAGTTCCACCCAGGGACACCTCCCACCAGACCATGTTGCTCTAAGCCCCGTCCAACCTGGCCTTGAACCCCTCCAGGGAAGGGGCAGACACAAGCCCAGACTGTAGACAAATTAGAGAATTCAGTAAGAGTTTTCTCAGAACAAGGGCAGAATCCAAGCGAGCGGCAAGACTGAAATCTGACAACCGTCTGGTTCCCTGTTAAAGATTCAGCCTCCAAAATCTGCAACAGTCAAGATGGAAACTCTGAGGCTCTGGCTCTCCCAGTACCTCTCAGATCTTCTCTAAGGCAGGCAAGGTGAAACGCCCGTGGTCAGCTCTGCCTGCACAGATGTCCAACCAGCACGCCTGTGCCCAGCCAAGCCAAGAGCCCTCTGCATCGGAGCAGATTGCTATTAATTATCACCCTGCTTTATAGCTGAAAAAGCTCCATATTTCTTCAGCTATAGAAATGTTGCGGAGGCTTCCAAAAGCGAAGTCTCCTGTTGTGTGAGACCCAACGTTGCCCAGGTATCTGTGCCAGGCTCAGCCAACCACAGCCTCTGCCCGCCGCCCGTGGCTAAGAGGACAATTTCAGAATGAAACAAAAAGGTTTTGATGACTGCTGAAAAAAATCGCACAGCAGCACCTCTCAGGACTGTCCTGCTCCGTGTGGTGACCCGTTTCCGAACCAGATAGATTTCTTATTTCATACCATTTCCCCTTCTTCTTCTGACTTCTGGCAAAATTACATTCTGAAATGGTGATATTTTCTGCAAGACAGGAGCCCCAGTCTCAGCTGTGCACCCTTGTGCTCCAACAGCCAGGAGCTGTTTCCCACCTCTCCAGGCAACACACACTTTTGGCCAACGCTCCTATTGGGAAGGTGGGGATGAGAAAGGAGGAAAGAAGATCCTACTCGACCTAGAGATGATCTTCTGAAGCTCTAAAGTATCATTTTTAGCCTCCTGGCAGGGTTTGTAGCTCTTTATTAAGGTCGAAGCAGATAATCTGGCCGTTCAACACACACCCGGGAGGCAACAAAGGGGTTTTTTTTCTCTGCACAAGTGAAACACACAGGCTAGCTTTAAATTTGCTGGCCCAGGCGTTGGAGGCAGCTGTCACAAACCAAACAGCTCCATTTAAGCCAGTCCATCCCACTGAGAACTGGAGCCCTTGCTCAAACAAGCCTTTAGGCTGCCACAGCCAGACCACATACGGTGTACAAGTCAGCCCAACTCAAACCAGCGCAGTTCCTCCTGATGACCCAGGACAGCACATCCACACCCAGAACCTGCAGAATTTCTTCCCCTAAGCAGATTATATTTTTTTTAAGTGTCAATGTTTACCAGCAATAGCAAATCTATAACCTTCCCAGTTCACTTCAGTATTCAACTGCCTTATCTGCCAAAAAACTGCATCTGGGACTGCAGAACCTAAAGAGTTTAGATAAGGATATTTGAATTTTGGTTCCCTCCGTTTCTATTTGGACATGGAAAATAGTATTAAAGTATGCCTGGCAGGAAGGTTTTAGCCTGAGTATGAATTCCATGTTTTCCCAGCTAACACCAGCATCACCATGACTCCATTCTCCTCTCCAGCATGCCCATTAATCCTTTTGGTTATCAGATGATACTCAAGGACAAGGCTCACATTCTGCTTTTCTCTGTGCAGGTCAAGAGCCCAAGACAAGTGAGAGTGCCACGACATCCACAACTCAAGGTGCTTCCTCCTTCCTCTCACAGAGAGGTAATTACTACTAGGTATTTTATACCTCTTTTCACAGTCAACGGCAAGGCCATCACACTGCTGTCTTCAAGGCAGTATTGGGAAGGGCTGACAAGTACCCGCAGGATGCTGGCCACGCTACCTAGCCCTTGAACAGCCTGTAAAGCCCCACAGAAGCAGCACTTTGGGGCAATCTGTTGAGCCTGGGAACGGCTGTGGCAGAAGGCTGTGGGAGACAGGACAAGCCCCCCCCTCCTCAAAGTCCTTCAGCTGCCACGCTCAACTTCCTCACCAGGGCCCCCTCAGAAATCCCTGTGGGTGTTCAATAAAAAGGGTCACACCAAGGCAATCTGATTCCCCACACAGGCCTTGAACACTCTGCTGTTAACGTTGGTGGGGCTGGCAAGTGCACGTTAGGTCCTCTCGCGTTGCTAGGAATCCTCTTCCCCACCTTGGAAGAAAGACTTTTATATAAAACTACCTCTTTTTCCCTCTTGCAGGCACCTCAAAACCCGTCACACCTACACCGGAGTCCTCTGGCTACTTGCCTGAGCCCACCCCGACGGACGACAAATCACCGCTGACGGTGGTAGCTTTCGGTAAGGTCTTGTGCAACCCGGGGAGAGGAAGGGGGGTCTGGTTTGGACACCCAGCTTCAAAGATGCTTCCCTGGAGATGGCTCCACAGTTTTCTCCTTCAGCGTGCCTGCTCCTGGAGTTTTCAGAGTGCAAGGGAAAACCCTAGAGAAAAAGACTTGCCACCAACAGGCAATAAAGCACCTAATAAATACTCCCAGTCGTGCCCAGTATACAAGGGACAGACAATTTGGAAATCCACCACGGCTACACCTGAGCTTGGGATCTTGCTCCCAGCACCAGTGTTTGCCCCAGCTCCACGGTAGGACCAGACCTGGGCACAGATGATCCCACACCATGCCTTTGTTTCCCTAATAGTGTCTAGAATAAACCTGGAAGATTAGATGGGGGTGTTTTTTTCCCTGTAAACCTGTTGGGACTTCATTCCCACCCTGCCCTTGAGCAGTTCACCTGCTTGGCAGCAAGCAGCCAAGTCCTCCACATCTGTCAGATGGAGCAAGAGATGCCATACCTTAACCTGGCACTAGATTTGAAGATAGGCACGGGGCAGATTTGAGACAACACTCTGCCTTGGGCTATACTGTCCCCCCAAATGAACAAAAAAAACCCCAATTTGCTCATTTCTATCACACTGTAGGGAAAAAAAAAGTGTTATTTCAAAAGCATTTTTAAAAGTCAAGTGTTAACTTCATGAGAACCATTTGCTTATATCCTCCAAGGGAAGGCACAAGAAGCCCTGAAGCAGTCCTAACGGGACAAGACTCCCATACAACAAATAGTTTGATTTATTGAGGCCAGATGTCAGAACCCAATCTGTGCTTGGCCACTGGTTTATGAGACAGACATCATTACTAACAGTCTTAAGCTTGTCTCTCCCCTTTATATTACCTATTTATCTGAGTTTATACACCTTTAGGATAAGATTTATCGCCTGTAGTAGGGACGTACCGACGGCGATCAATCCCTAGGGTAATCAGCTGATTTCTGCCCTCCTAGCACTGCCTTGCCAATTAAGTATTTATTCATCAGAAGCCTTTTGAGGCTAAAACACAACAGGATAAAGCCATTCACTCTGGTGTCTTCTTATTTCTCTGCCTGTTACGTACCATGCTCATTTTAATGAAAGCATTGATTTCCTACCCAAGTTTTGGTGGCAGTCAAAGTCTCTCTGCCACCCCAGAAGCCAAGGACAGGTACAATGTTGTATCAATGACAGACAGTTCTTTCCTCCATCCCCAGGTGTCATCAGCTTCATAGTTATCCTGATAGTGGTTGTGATCATCCTGGTCAGCGTGGTCAGCCTGAGGTTCAAGTGTAACCGCTCAAAGGACTCGGAAGGTATTTTCCTGGGGCGATCTGTCTTTCCCTAACCATAAAAACCATCAGTTTCCATGCGGATTTAGCAATTTCTAAAAGATGCTTTAAAGAGCTAACACGGTGGGGAGGTTTTGAAGTCAAATTGGAACTGCTGGATGAAGTGTGACCACCTCTTTAGAGCCCTAGCCCAAACCCATCCACACAAGGAAACACTCTCGAGTGTGCCGCAGTGAACCGTACAGGTTTCCAGAGGTGCTTCCAGCAAAATCCATTCTCCAGGAATTCCATTTCTCACCAAGCAGTGCCCACTAGAGGGCAAGGCTGCTCTACAGCAAGCCAGGAGCTGCCAAAAGGCCGAAGGATGTTAGTGACTACAGAGGCAGCCAAGCATTCAGTCCTGCCTCTCTGTCACATTAATTGAAGGATTTTCTCTAATAATCTCTCGAGTATCCCCCGTGGTGTCTCTAATCTCATTTGGGTTTCATTTATAACTCTGTAAAACATAATTCTGACTTATTTTATTGCTTGGCTGTGATGTTTTCTCACCTGTGCATCACCAACTGCCTTTCTCCCTCCAGACAAACAGAAACCAGGGACCTCCATGGTATCAGAGAGGTAAGGCTGCTCATGCCATTCACATCTGATTGAAAGGGCCTATTTTATACCAGAAGTAAATTTAGCAAGGAAAAGAGGCTGCCTTGGTTATTTCGGGTGGAAGGAAGCGTTTCTAGATATCTTTGAGACAGGCAAAAACCCAAAATGAGCACTGATAGCACCTCATCCTCAGTCTGATGGAGACAAAGGTTGATGTTCAATATTTAGGGGCCTCATTTCAAAGCTGCACTGATATCCGTGAAGACTCACCACCCTCCTAAAGCAGTCTGCTTGTTTTCCTTTGCCTAGATACAGACTTTAGGTCTAAATCTGGTTTCTGGATCTCAAAGCAGCCTCAGCGAGATGAGATCAGCTGCCTAAAAATATCTTCCATAATGCCTATTACTGTTACCTAGCAAGAGCGGGATAAGGGGGTCCCAGTCCAGAGGCCTTTGGAGGAGAAGCACCTTTGGTGGATGGTCCATCTGAACCCCACAGTCCATCACTGCTACCCAATAAGAGAGGCTGCAGGTGGGAAAGCAGCAGGAAATAAGAGCAGGAAGGGACCAAAACATGTTCCTCCTGCTTTTCCATCTGATGGTTTTCTACCAAAGCAATAAACTCTGCTTTGGAAAGAGGCAAGGGACCCGGGGAGCAAAGTCCCTAAGCATTTAGGTGCCAAAGTTGCACCAACAGGAATGGTTCACAAATACCCTTAACAACCATGCTGTGAGCGATCTGAGACACTGAGGCAGGACACAGCAGAGGCCTGTGTCCCCCCAGGCACCCTAATCCCCAAAGTCATCCAGTCTCCAGTGGCACTAAATGCATATCCCAGCCCTCAGGGTAGGGAGAAAGGGGAATTCCACCTCCCTAACACTCCTAACTCTCACTCGTTAGAGAGACACTGGCAATCCTTGAGCAGCAGCATGAGATGGAAAAAATATCTCCCTGTGTGTGACAAATAAGCTTACGGGCAAAGGACAGAGGGACACGGTAACGTTTCCTTCTGTTCCAGCTCTGGTAATGGCTGCAGGGCCAGGAGAGGATTCAGCCACTGGGAACCAGATCCAAACTGTTCCTCTATTCTGCCTACAGTAGTGACAGGGGTGACAAGGTGCTTTCCGCTGAGCATCCGAATTTGGATGTGCTGCTCGTTTCCCCAGAGACCCCTGAGCCTGTGTTCAGACAGGGGATGGGGACTTTGGCGCTGAGGATGGGCCTGAACCGGGCCAGCAGCTCAGCCCTGCTCCCGTGTCCCCACTGGCCACGGCCCTGCCTGTTCACCCCGAGGATGGGCCTGAACCAGGCCAGCAGCTCAGCTCTGCTCCCGTGTCCCCACCGGCCGCGGCCCTGCCTGTTCGCCCACAGTTGTGTGCAAAGAAACTCCCTCCTCCTCTTTTCCAGAGTAGTTAATACAGCCTTCTCTTCCTGACAGCTGCTCGGCAGGCACAAGCCAGAAGGATAACAGCATCACTCTCATCTCCATGAAGAACATCAACATGAACAACAGCATGAGTTATCCACCATCAGAAAAGGTTTCCCTTTTAAGCCTCGCCTTTTCGAGAGTTAGCTGGGGATTACTTATCCTGCTAGATAAGAGCATGCCTTCGAGTTATTTCTTTGCTCTCTCACTCCTTCAGAAAGATAATAAAAAACAGCTGCCATCAAACTCCTAAAGGGCCAAACAGGTTCCTGGTGAAAAGTTTGGATGCCCATCTCGGGTTTATCCAAGCTGCCTGAGCTCCAGGCATCACGTATACCTCACGTAAATAGGTGCCATCACCCAGGGACCTGGAGTGGTTTTTGGCTAAATGAAGAGGTGAATAAGCCAGCCTGCGTGAAGAGACCCTCTAGTCCAAGCTTACTGCAGGTGGCACTGGAGCACGTTCCCATCAGTAGTCTCAGATCCATCCCATACGAGTAATTCACACCATTTTAAGCTGTTTTAAAGCTAAACTGGCATGGGACTGGGTTGGAGGAAACACCATCATTTAGCTTATTTTGCCAGCCCAAACAGGCTGCTGATGCACCGTGTTTTGTTCCTTTTACAGGTGCTATGAAGCCAAGGACCCAGAGCTTGAAGCTGACTCCTGACAACCAGCAGTGACTATCTAGGTTCTCTTTTTTTTTTTTTTTACCTTGGGGAAAGAGCAAGGATGGACTTTATATATAAATTATTATGTCCTTTCTGATCACTACACTTACAGTAGCATCCCACATAGCTTCCTCGCCTGGGGTCTAAGGGCTTTCTCCACTTGCAGCCTGCCATGCTCAATGGTTGATATCTAACTCTATTTTTTATATGCCTTCGAAGCCTCAGATCATTCCAGCAGCAAGAAGCACCAAGGAACCATCTACTTTGCTAATAAACTGCTGCCTTGGATTAATGGCCTTTATAGTCCATGCGAGCCAGTAACGGGCTCGTTAATCAGTACAGCCCCACACTGAGTCAATCCCAAGCATTAGAAAGGCACAACCTGAAGCTGAAGGTCTAATGGGACATAAATGGCCAAGTCCTAGGTCAAACCCTTATCCTTGGTGCCCCCGTTGTCCCCGCAGCGGTGGGGATGATCACATCCACCTACCTCACAGGGTTGTTGTGAGGCTACGTTAATCAATGCCTGTAAAAGCATTTGGAGAGCCATGAATTAAAGGTGCTGCTGAAATGCAAATTGTGGTCTTAAATACCTTATCATTAATAACTGAGCTCCAGGCAGGCAGCTTGCTATCTCCCCATGGGTCCAACACACTCAAAGACAACTCATCTTAAGTGTAAAGAACAAGGTCTCTGCACAGAGTTTTACCTGGGTGCAAAAAGGAGTGGTCCCAAGCAAAATGCAGAGCTACTTCAGCTCCTGAGGTTTGGTAGCCCAAGTTTGCTGGGAGAGCTTCCACCTTCTGTACCACCACTCTCCCAGAGCTTCCCCATAGACCAGAAAAGCAGATGCCCCTTCCAGTTCAGCCAGAGCACCAGAAGCCACCAGTGCACCCTCGAGTGGCCACAATAATGAGAAGAGTCCTCCATTAGACCCCACAGTGCAATAGCTCACATTTGGAGCCAGCTGGATCACAACCTGAGCCAGCTCAGACCCAGCTGCCGGTCACTTTCACCACCAACAGCATAACAGAACCTTATACACTGAGCGATGGAAGAAGGGAAGGCTCCGGGGAGACCTTAAAGCCCCTTCAAGTACCTAAAGAGGGTCTATAGGAGAGATGGGGAGGGACTCTTTGTGAGGAGTGTAGTGATAGGATGAGGGGAACGGTTTCAAACTGGAAAAGAGGAGATTGAGATGAAATCTCGGGAAGAACTTCTTTGGTGTGAGGGTGGTGAGAGCCTGGCCCAGGTTGCCCCGAGAAGCTGTGGCTGCCCCATCCCTGGAGGGGTTCAAGGGCAGGTTGGAGGGGGCTTGGAGCAACCTGGTGTGGTGGGAGGTGTCCCTGCCCAGGGCAGGGGGTGGCACTGGATGGGCTTTAAGGTCCCCTCTAACCCAAACCATTCTGTGATTCTATGATGGAGATACCAGTACTTACCATCGAGGCTGAGCAATATCTAAAGGGCAGGTGGCAAGAGGATGGGGCCAGACTCTTCTCAGTGATGCCCGGTGACAGGACAAGGGGCAATGGACACAAGTTGGAACATGGGAAATTCCATCTCAACATGAGGAGGAACTTCTTTCCTGTGAGGGCGGCAGAGCCCTGGAAGAGGCTGCCCAGAGAGAGTGTGGGGTCTCCTTCTCTGGAGGCATTCAAACCTGCCTGGATGCATTCCTGTCTGACTTGCTCTGGGTGATCCTGCTTTGGACTGGATGATCTCCAGAGGTCCCTTCCAGCCCCTGCAATACCCAACTTCCATGTGACTGTAAGAGAAACAATGCACTGCTGGGTACTTCTGGAGGTCTCAGCTCCCTTACTCAGCAGCGTAACATACTAAAGCACTAAATCTGCAACTAGCTTTGCCTCTGCCCATCTTCACCATGACTCCTGCTGGCAAGCTTCACCACAGACCTCCAGAGCACTTCGTCTACCCAGCAGCAGGACACCAAAACACCGCCTTCTCCTAACATGAGCATCCACATCTGTCAAACCTGAAGGTAAACTGCAAAGTTAAGGAAAAAAAGATCTAGCTGGGCATTCAAAATAGGTATGACCACACACATTCCCCTGCACCGTCTGATGAAACATAATAATTTACCTTGATTTGATTTTATAGGATGGATAAGAGATGTCTACTGGAACATGCAGTGCTAGAGGTAGCTGCGCTTTGCAGCTGGCAATTAAGTGTTCAGCCAAATAAATGCAACGTTTGCACAACTCCTGCTAAAATCCAACCCGCTTTCTGTCTTTCACGCACACACCAGGTCGTTTGATGAGGTATTTTTTAAAGAAATTAAGCCCTTCTGGTAAAATTGCTGAAAAGTAAAATGACATCACTCCACTGGCCCAGCCTCCAGCAGACCAGTGAGTTCGCACAAGATCCCAGGCAATTCCTGGGTAGGTGGATCCACACAGCTCCAGATCTCTGAGACTGTGACTCAGTGAACAAAGCGACACAGCAAAGGCACAGGGAAGCACCTGAGGTATCAGACACTTCAGTAATTGCCAAGCGTTAACTAACCTCCCCTCCACGATGACCTCTGAAAGATAGCCCCATGCTTAATTTTCCTTCCATTGGGCTCCTTCTTCCCACGGACTCTTGAGGGTCTTGACAAATAACCCCAGCCAGCTCCGCTCTAAAATATCAGACACTTCAGTAATTGCCAAGCGTTAACTAACCTCCCCTCCACAATGACCTCTGAAAGATAGTCCCATGCTTAATTTTCCTTCCTTTGGGCTCCTTCTTCCCATGGACTCTTGAGGGTCTTGATAAATAACCCCAGCCATAACCCCAGCCAGCTCCGCTCTAAAACCGATCCACATCCAAAAGCAAAATTCCAACTTTGACCTTGTTCAAAAGAAAGAATGAATAAAAAATGAACAACAGAAGTGATGTAACCCTTAATTTCCAGTTGCTGCTGCTCACGTGAAAGGAGAGGTCTTTTCCAAGCTGCTGTGCTCCTACAAAGCATGCTGGTGGAAGACACCAACTCCCTTACTCCATGCCCACAGCTCATTAGCGCAGCTTTAATTGGCACATGCGATGAGGGGAAGCAATGCGTGAAAGGAGCTGCAGGAGAAGACCTTGAGGGTTTTCCAACGGCAGCCTGGTCAGAAGGTGTGGAGCTGGCATTTTTCCAGGTTCCTCATAACGACCCAAGACCATCTCCTGTCAGGTGGCAGGTGGCCCTACCAGCCCAGCAGCGCTGCCAGGAAGGAGCCCAGAGTGTGATGTCATAGAATCACGGAACGGTGATTCCAGTTCCATGGAAATGGATCATCCAGTGCCACCCCCTGCCCTGGGCAGGGACACCTCCCACCACACCAGGTTGCTTCAAGCCCCCTCCAACCTGGCCTTGAACCCCTCCAGGGATGGGGCAGCCACAGCTTCTCTGGCCAACCTGGGCCAGGCTCTCACCACCCTCATACCAAAGAATTTCCTCCTAATATCTCCCTACATCTCCCCTCTTTCAGTTTAAAACCATTCCTTGATCCAGAGTCCCTCCCCATCTCTCCTGGAGCCCCTTGAGGGACTGGAAGGGGCTCTAAGGTCTCCCCAGAGCCTTCTCTTCTCCAGGCTGAACCCCCCAACTCTCTCACCCTCCCCTCCCAGCAGAGGGGCTCCAGCCCTCCCAGCGTCTCCGTGGCCCCCTCTGGCCCTGCTCCATGTCCTTCTGATGCTGGTGGTCCCCTCACAGGGGCAGCTCCTTGAGGGGAGCGGTGACGTCACCCCCCTTCGCTATGGCGTCACGAGCGCGGTGCCCGCTGGGTACTGTAGTCCTCTCCCGGGGACTCCGTTACCCAGAAGCCCCCGCGCGGCGCGACATGGCGGAGCGGGCGTTGCGGGGCGGCGGGCGGTGAGGGGGCGAGCGGGCTGCCCCGAGGGTCGCCGCCACCACCATGACCTACACGGCGGAGCAGCTGGACGGCGTGAAGCGGTCAGAGGGGTGAC